CAAGTTTTTTAAATTCTTTGTATATCCTTGATAAAGGATGTTTCTTCAAATTATCTTGATTTCTTTCATGATTTGCACAAATTGTTAAAAAATTCATCGCCATCTTTCCATCTTAACTTCTTATCTTTGCATAAGCTAAACCATCATCCATTACTTTTTTTCTATTTGTATAGCAATAATATATGGTTGTTCCAATATAATAAGATATGTAAATATATCTTGTACAAAGAAAAAATAGGATATGTAGACATATCTTCTACAAAAAAAAATTATTTATGAATAACATCTCTTATTGTCATCTTCATATTTAAACAAGCTCCATATAAATCTTCTTTTGAATTTTTTAATGTTCTTATCATCTATCCATATTCAATATTAAAGAGTCATTTTTTTTTTACAAAATTTATTTAATATCAAATTAATTTTAGAACCATGATTAATTAATATTACAATTGGTTCTTCTAAATCTTTCAAATTAATCAAAATTTCTATAGTACCTTTTGCCCAATGACTTTAAAAATAATGACTAGAAGCTTGAATCATATTTTTTTTTTTTAATCTTATTTTCTAAACATCTCCAAAAAATTAAATTTCATTTTCTTCATCTATATTGCTATTCATTGATTTTGTTCCTTGTACATTTGATATCATAGTAACTCCTATAGATTGTCATTTTTTTATTTTTTCAATAATAACTTCATGAAATTTAATCTTTACAATTCTTAGGATTTCACCAATTATAAATTCAAGCTTTCTACTTAAAATCCACATCTCCAATACCTTCTTTAAATTTGTAGTAGCTTCAATATCTAATTGTAATTTATAAGCAAGAGCCTTTTCTTTTTCTTTTATAAATTTCTTTTTCTTTGTAGAAATATTTTTTGTTGTCTCTTCATTCATGGGATTTTTTGTTGTTGTGGTTTTTTTCCTCTTAAAGTTCTTTTACATGGCATTTTGTTGTTTTCATCTCTCTTTCATTTTTCTACTATTAATCCTTCATGTTGATTCCTTGCAATATGAACATGTACCAATAATCCATATTCTAGATCATTCCACATAATAATTTGCTAAATATTATTACCACTACTTTTTAAATCATCTATTGAAAAAAAATTCTTTTTCAGCATAATTTATTATATTACACCATAAAGAACTAGATTCTTCTAAAAGTTCAAGATTTATGCTTAAAAATTTGCTTAGATTTGCTTCCATCCAATATATTGATGCTTCATTGCTTGAAATTTTAAATTCTTTTTTTATAAACATCTTGATTCTCTCCTTACCAATATTTGTTTCCAATTTTTCTCCACTCTCTTTTAAGTGTACCATACCATCTTATAAAAAACAACTCCTTTGCATAATGCCTCTATAAAATCTTCACATTTCTTTCTTGAATGATCCACGCTATCATATCACATGCACCTATGTACTACACCTTGTATTGGTCCTAACCTTTGATATTTTTGATGATTGACCCTTCTCTTTAAGTTTTGCAAATTTAATTTGTAAATCTCTCATACCTTGTATGATTTCATCAATTCCTATTTCTTCTTTCTTTAATATAACTTTTGAAGGTTGAATTATAGATGTTGGATGAATAATAAGCATTTTTACCTTAGATGCTTGCAATGTTCTTTAAATAACCACCTTATCCTTTTTTTCTTTTACTTTTTACAAGCAATTCTATTGTCTCTTCTACTTTCTTCCAATTTGTTGTCTACCTTCATTTTATCTTTATCTTCAAGCAAGATTTCCAATTTTTCTTGTAACGTTCTATTGACTCCTTGAAAAAAAACCTCCACTTTACTTGGATCTAATAATTTCCTCTCTTTCTTTGATAAACAAGAATATTACTTTTCAAACTCCTTTAATAATTTTGTTGCTAGAAGATCCTCCTTAGGCCTTTTAATCCATTCAAAAAATGACTTCTTTGTAACCTAATTACTATCTTCCAAGAAAAACTCATCCTTTAATGTTTGTGAAAATTTCTCCCATAAACCTCCAAAATATCTTATAAAGACTTCACTTGATTTCTTATCTCTGATGTAGTAGTTAATTCAAATAATTGAACCATCTTCTTCATTGAAACATACTTCAATTCCATTTCTTTTACATAATACCTTAAATATTTTATAATATCCTTCTTTTCAAATTCATCAGTGCTATCTACAACCACTTGTTATGCTTTGTTTATCATACCATCTTTGTAATCTTTAACTTTTTGTTATTGCATGAATACGAATAAAGCCTCAAATATGCTTGCAAAGTTGAGATAAAAATATATACCTTGTCTTCTACTTGTAGCTCCACTTTCAACTCTATTTGAAGTACCATCAAAAAGCCTTTCCTTCCATTTTCTTGCTTTCTTTTTCCATAGATTAAATAAACCAAAAACAATTCCAAATACCTTCTATTTCAAGCTTTTCATGTTGGATTCACCAAATATATTATATTACATGTGTTTTTGCTCTAAAATGCATTAGATACCTAGCAATTGAAAGAAATAGAAAATAATAGAATTGGATGTTGGACAACCTCCTACTCCAACCTGAATGCTGAACTTCTAATGCCAATATCTTCTTTTTTAACTATTGAATTGCTCTCAAATTTCACCCAAATGTTGGAAATTGAGTCTAATATTCATACAAAAATAATTCACTTTGATCCAATTGACAAATTTCTGAAGATCTTAGAAACACTTACTAACTTTCAAACTCCAATTTCTGAGATCTCAATCCACAAAAACCCTTATAAACTTCAATCTAACTATTCCATTGATCTCAAAATTTTCATACATATTTATAACTAACACACCAACACATTCTCCAAATTTTATTTGTACACTCACCACAAAACTTAAGAAACCTTCAAATTCTTAAATATATTTTTATTTTTAAAATCCTAATTCTACTAAGAACATAATTAATTTTGAAAATCCCTCAATATTTTAATATTGATTCAAAATACATGAAACTAATGCCTAAAAATCACTTTTGAAGTTTGCCCTCAAATTAAACTCTTTGATCTACAAAAAAACTCAAAGTCATCGTAGGTGTGTAGTTTTGTGCCTTAAGGTCTAATTTCAATCCAAGTTGACAACTAGTCTTCTTTGGATATCAATTCTTTACTTCTTGAAGTAAACTTTGCTAAAATCTACTCTTAACTCTTTCCTACACATGCCAATATTATTTAATTTCTCAATTTACTTTGATTTGTCTTATTTATGGTCCTACAAAGTAAATAGAAGTCCATTTTGTAAAAAGACAACATTAATATTTTTTAGTTTTACTATCTTTTTTATTATTATCTATACTTTTAAGATAATTAGCTATAATATTTTAAAATAAGATCTTCTATAATATAATGTTTTCTTCTCTCTTTGATTCATTAGCCATGTTACATGACAACAACAAGTATAAAGTTTATATTCTCTCTTCCAATGAGATATTATACAAGTTAAATGTGCACAACGTGAACTACAAACCTATTATATCAAACATAGTAAAGCTCTACTATCAAAGCAATTCCAATACAAAATAGTGAAACAATACGTTAACCTCAAAGCTCTCACATGCTTTCCTTTTTAAAAATAACTTAAAATAATATGTTAATTTCAATTAAAGTAATAATTAATCTCAATTTTAGTTCACTTTTGATGATTACTTTTGATAAAAAATAATGAGGTATACAACCACTCACAAAGGATTTTTATCTCTTCTTATTTGTTTCTTGAGTTATTTTATATAATAAATATATCTAAAAAATCTATTACTAATTAGTATTAAAAATATTTATTAAGAATATTTATAAAAAAAAAAAACATGTATGTAAATAAATTTTACTAGAGATAATTACAAATCAATCGTATAAAATTAAAAATATAAGCAATTAAAAAATTTATGCAAAACTTATGTATATATATATATATATATATATATATATATATATATATATATCATTAACAAGAATTAATAAAACTTATAAATAAGTAAAGGTTGGATGATGATACTTTGAAAAAGATTAAATTATATTTTCTAATCTATTATTTTATTACCAAATGTTATAATCCTATTATTTTTATAACTACAATCTTATGTTTCTAGTAACAATATGGCATAATATTAAGTCAAAAAAATTGATTAAATATATTTTACTAGAAGAAATATAAGTGAAATGTTGTATCAATTGTTTTGAAATAATTCATTATTAGACACTTTTTAACAATACTACATACTTATTAAAAAGTTGTCACCTCATCTTAACAACTTTCGGAGTATAACACATTCATGGAAGTTATGCTAGACTTGAAGTGTGAAAAGAGTTGCATCACGGCGGGGACGAAGCCGTCGAGCAGGCGCCGCGAGGAAAGCCTCGTCGCCATCGCGTGAGGCTTTGCGCAAATGGCGTCGCCGAAGCCTCGGATCCATTTCGCAGCACCCCAACTGATTGCTAGAGTAGGCTCGGAATTCCACACGCAAATGCCTTTGAATTTTGAACTCATTCCTTCATTGGATTCGAAACCGACAAGTCCTCACAAGTAACCAGCCTTTTTAGGTTCTGAAGCACCAAACCCGAAGACTCTTAAGTTACCGGCACTTGGGGTGGATTGCTTGCTCATCAGGGTGCCAACTTAGAGCCCTGAGCTAAGTCGTGAATATGAATGACTGATGCCATTTCGTTAACTCCTTGGCTTGTCAATTGTGGTGATATTTTAATGTTATTTTAGTCGAAAAAAAAATGATGTTCAAAATCGATATATATATATATTTTTTATTTATTTATTTATTTATTTATCGTGGGAATGGCAACGTTTACTTGGAATCTAGCTGTTGGTTTGTCGGTCTCCGTCCGATCAAACAGGTGGGGTCATACCAAAGTAGTGCGATTGTTACGGAGGGTAGGAGCACTGATGACCGAATATGCTGTGGCTAATCCTCACGCGTTCCGGACGCGGTGCTTCTGACTCGCGGAGCTTTGTCTGCCATTGCGCAATACCCAGGCCGTGACTTCATGGTCTGGAGCTAATGGTATATGAACGGCGCCGGAGTTTGAAATCTGCAGGTTGAAATTGAAGCTTGTTAGCGCTGTGTCTGTGCAAGTCGATTGCAATTGTTTCCGTGAGTGACGTTTGATATTGAGGCTGAAGTGGGTGTTGCGGGCTGTCGTAGAAGTAAATTTAAGTATTGCTGAGGCATGGCGGATAGGAAATTGGAAGTTCTGCTGAAATCCGCGACCGACTTGAAGAAAGTGAACAAGACCAAGATGCACGCGTACGCCGTGGCATGGGTTGATCCCATCATTCGAGTGCCAGGTCCCGTCGACAGGATTAACGGCAGCAACCCTGTGTGGGAAACCCCCATCACCTTGACGCTCAAGGGACGCTCGCTAGGCCAAAGCTCAAAACTTAACATCGAATTGCTGGGTCTAGGATTCGTGTCCACCAAGCCCATTGGAAGCGTGGTTGTTGATCTTGCTGAGATTCTGCAACAAGGAGCTTCGGGTGCGGCTGTCAAGAAAGAGTATGTGAATTATCCGGTACGTTGCCGTTTCTCTTAAACTGATTTCCACTTAAATGTGGAAACTCAACCAAAATGTTCGATGGTCTTGAAAGGCTGTCGGGATATCTGTCAAACTACAGGCTGGAGAAAATATTGTACAGAACAAAAGATTTGATTGTACTCCAGGGTCATTCCGCAAAGAATATAATGTTACTAGGGCCTCTTAGTTCCCCAGAGTTAAAGCCGAACATGAAAAGTGTGTGAAAGATTAAGATCATTAACGAGATGATGGTGTTGAGGCATTTTTTCTTTTTTCTCTTTTAAAGTTCATCTGACGTGGTTACTTTGGGTTCAGGTTTTCCTGCCATCTGGTGCATCACACGGAAGTATTAGCTTTGATCTTCGTTTGAAGGAGTGCCGGTCCATGCTTGCTGCCCAAGTTGCACAAGGTAACGAAGACACGTCAAACTTCTAGACACAAAAATTGATTTCGGAAACATCGAACATGATTATCGAAACTTCTGTGTTCTGTAAATTAACCACGACAGCCAAGTGAAGCGAAACTGGGGAAGGACGACGTCAAGTCTCTGAAAGTGCTTACAATTGTAGAAAATTTATTTACCCCCTCAACCATGTATCAAAACATTTGTAATATCTGATTGTAGTCTTTAGTATCCATCAATCAGAACAACCTCGGATAAGGAATTGAATTCGAAACATTACTTAAAACAACCCAGGAATCCCTACTCCTACGCATCATTCATCATGAGCGAAAAAAAATTGTATATCCTCAACAATGACTAGAGAACCAAACCTCGAAGTTATCATGGCCTTAGTGGATAGGTCATATCTTACGGCGATGACATTATTTGTTCCATACTAAAGAGCACACTTGGAGCACGTCTCTGTGTGTCATTCATTTACATTCAATCATAAATCATGAGAAATTCAGCACCTGTTGCACTTTTCAATACAAAAGGCACTCATTCATTAAGGTGAATAGCATCGAGTAAATGCAAACTATATTTCTTGAGTTGTACAAGTGGTCACATGCTTTTGAATTATCCAATCCAGCGATGAACTCCTATCTGTGTAGTAATCGGTCTTTACATTCGTGCAACAAATACACTCTCACTGTGGCTGGAAGCTCTTTGCCGCCTTCACCCATGACTCATAGTCTGCACCCGCAAAGGACACGATCTTCTTCCAAGATGCCCGGCTCAATATCGCACCCCACCATGCTGCAACCCGCGGCCGTGAGCTCAACAGCTCCCGCTTCCCCAACACGTTGAAGTACAGGTTGCTCAAAGGCAAATGCCCAAGGTCCGCAATGCTCACGAAGTCCCCTGCCAAGTACTGATGCTTCGTTAGCTGCGCTTCGTACACGTCCAGCACTTTGTTCAGCTTTTCTGTGGCGTCCTCCACGGCCTTCTGGTCCGTTGCAATTTTGAACAGCCCTGGCCCGTAGATGAGCTCCTTCACAAGGGTTCGCATGAGTGCGCTGAACGTGCCGCTCTCAACCTCCATCCACTGCTCCACTAGCGCCCGCTCCGCTTTGGTCGACCCATACAGCTTAGGAGTTCCCTGAGCTTCGTACTTGTCGGCAATGTATCGCATTATTGCGCCAGACTCTGTGCAAACCAACTCGCCATTCATCAGACCCAACACTTGCAAACTAGGTGTCCACCCCGCCAGCTGCTCGCTACCGCTCATGCACCTGGCCCAGCAATCGCTTGCCGTAACTGTTGCCGCAATGCAAACCAACAAACAACCCATACTTGAAAGCAAAGCCAAGCCAAGCAACACACACAGCTACAGCGCGTACCGAACAATTTGAGGTCCTCGTCCTCCAGGAGTGGAACCAGTCCGAACGGCTGCAGGACACGCCCAACCCACGGTGGGTGTGAGTACCTCAGTGGGAACGTATCTTGCAACATCCCAAAAAACAAATAGCCACGAGTGCACAAATCATGCTGGCAGCAATCCAGAATAAAAAATATGGAAAAAAAAAAAAAAAAAAAGAAAAAAAAAAAAGAAAGAGAGTGGAGGCTACTTACCTGCAAAGTCATGTACTCAGGTTTCTTGTGCTCTCCAAGCAAGATGCTGGTGCTGATCAGCTCAAAGTCCACTTCCTTCTCCAGCATCACCACGATCGCCCTTGCGGTGGCGCTGGAATAGTACGTCCCATACAGCTTGGTGGCCATTGTTCTTCACCTGCACGAAACGAGTTACCTAACCTACATCGACAACGCACCACTTTGTCAGCCACAAAGACCACAATGAGAGATACATCCACACTGATGCAACGAAAGGCCTCAATGGTTCAGTCCAGCGAATACAACAACTCAAGCAACGGCATCAGCACACATGTAACAACAACCAGCAGAATGAGACATGAGATGGTTGGGAAGAGTGCTAAACGGTGAGAGACGCGGCACCTAGTGGTGGTGTGCAGCAATCAAGGCTGATGGTTTCACTAGAAATGCTTTGTAGGCAGGACTCAAATCGACAAGCTTAAGTTGTTGCAGTGTCTGTCCCTCCAAACTCCATCGACATTTGTAGACATGGCGCCGTCGAGTTCCGGGTGTGCATGGATTCCACGTTAGTTTCTGATTTCATGGATTCGTTCCAGTTTTCCTGGAACTAATTGTGAGAGCGTTGGAATTCTGTTTTCTTGTATGGCCATTTATTGATTTTTTTGATTCTGTCATCTTCAATTTAAGACTTCTGATTCTATCAATCTTAGAGACTTTTTTGGTAAAATAATCGACTTTTGTTTCTTTTTATTACTTTATGTTTTTCTCAGTTATTACTTCTTCTATTTGTAGTTTTTCAATGTATTTAGGTTGATCTTATGGTATCATTTAGTTTTTTAAATTTACATGTGATGTTAGATTATTTGGGGTGTCTTATTGTGCCTTTCAAAGTATCTTTTTATTCCTTCATCTTTTGAGCAATTCTTTATATTATCTAAATTTTTGCAAATTCTGTCAAGGAATCTAAATATTTTTTCTAGCCTAGTGAAAAAAATACCTTTTTTTAATCTACCTGTATTGTGATTTTTTAATACATATATATAACTTGAGAAATTTATAAGAAATAAAAACATTGTATAAAGTGACTTTAGTTGCCTAAACTGTTTTGGGTTAATATGTGATTCCTCTAACAAATAATCTAATAATGTTGTATTCTTCCAAATTTTATAGGAATATTTTCTTTTTTCTTGTGAAAGGCCTTTTTTGATGACATTATAATTGTCTTAACATTCAAAGGCTTTGATTTCAATTTTTTTATTGTTTTAGAAAAATAAATTACTACTAAATATATATTATATTAAAATTATATATTTAAATTTTTATTTATATAAATTTTATATTAATATATCATAAAACTTATTATTTATTATATATTAGCAAAAAAATAATTAATTTTAAATCCATCTACCAATTTGAAAAAAAAAATCAAATACTTATCATATTGGATTACAATTAATAAAGTCTATAGATGTTTAAAGCATATACTATAGTTATATCTAAAAAACCTCTAAGTACACATTTCAATGAAGTCCATGATATCTTCATGTTTAATGATGTTTTATATTTCTTATTAAATATTTAATATGAAAAAATATTAATATACAAGTTTTTTTTATTCTTATCTAATTTATATTAATAACATTTCTTAGACTTACTTTTAATATTAAAATAAAATATTAGCATAATAAAAACCACATTTAGGCTTGAACTTTGATTTAATTCTTATATACATTTACTATAACAACTTATAGTTCTTAGCATTAATATATCTTCATAAAATTATAAACAATGCAAATAAGTTTTTAATATAAAGATATTATTATAATTAGTGATTCTTGAATATATATAATAAAAAAATAAAAATAAATAAAAAAGAGTTGATAAAGCCACATTCACCCTTCTTACCTCATGATCTATTTTGTTGTCATGGACATACATATTTATTCTAATATTTACTTATATGATTAAGTAGAAGAAGATAAAAGTAGATTTATTTCATAATATTTTTTAGAAAAGCTTCATAGATGCTGCTTTGACTTTACATATATTTATAATTCATTAATAAGCTAGAAACTTGGTCAACAAGATAACCTATTAAGGACAAGAACTCGATGAAAAAGTAATTCAGACAAGTGAGCCTTCACTCAAAGAAAGGTAACAAAATATAAATAAACAAGTATGTATATTGAAAGAGAAACTAGAATGGTTATTGCCAAAAGACAAGAAAACTAGAGACCCTTGAAACTAGGCTAGTAGCAAGAAAGGAATTGACAAGAATGAAGAAGGCTTCACTCTTGTCTCTATATATACTATCTAACTAGGGGCTACGTGGCGACGTTCTATAGGATCTCCAATATGTGTTGACTTTAAAGGACACATGCCTTGACTTACAAGGCAAGTTTTTCTATGTGTGGACCACATAGTTAGCTTGATCTTCAAGCTAACAACATGTGTGGCACATGGCCAACTTATTGACCACGTTTCTAATCCAAAAGGTCAACTAAAGACACCTATGAAGTCAAAGCAATGTCTATGAAGCTTCTAAAAAGCTTCCATATTAAATACTATAGAATTAACTTACTTTTATCTATTTGTATATGTAATTACTAGCTTACATGAATATGTCCGTGACATTACCTGCCCTTATAGGGACAAGTTCCACGAGGAGTGATCATCATATGTTGAAGAAATCTATGATGCAACGAATTGTATATGCCACATACTCTGATCTTTGTTCTCTTCGAAGATGATTGATAGGGCCTCTCAACCATCGGTAGTGTCCCATACCAGGGCAGGAAGACCACTTAGTTATTTGATCATTGTTGAGGCCTTCATAACTTCCTTCAAATAAAACATTTGGAACACCATCAGGAGTTGTTCCTACCTCTAGCAAAATCACCAAACATCAAAAGTCCCTTCCCAAATCATGATACCAAACACATTGTATCTCGCCATCTATTTGAGGAAGAACATGTCGTTCTTGAAGATCTTCATCTCGATTGCGCGGTCTTGAAGGTTGTGACAATCATAATCTCTCGTTCGACAGGTCAACAAATGAAGGCTCCTAAGTCGAATCCACTAATTATTGGTTCTCCATCTCTTGAACGTCACAACTACAAAGAAGCTACGAACAAGAATTGAAAGTAGAATGTTATCTTACCTAGATGTTGTTTCTTTTATAAAGAAGATTTTTATTTTGATTTTGATAGATGTCATCGATGAAAAGCCTCCATCGCCTTTGGTGCATTTGCAAGATTCTTTATTGGCTATCATGTATAATCACTAATACCATATCCGTGTCAATGGATAAGATATTCCAATTTATTTCAGCGCCGCCTTGAATCTAAGACTTCTTCTACTTCAAACTCTTCATTATTGTCCACTTCTATAGGAGGAGGTGGAGCTTGTCATCTTTTTTGTATGTCCACTATCTTGTATGGTTCAAGAAGAGACACGTGAAATATTAGATGGATTTTTATTGACTCCGATAGATGTAAACGATATGCAATTGAATTGATTTGTGCAGAAATAGAAAATGGTCCAAGCCTTCGATAGTCCAACTTATCACAAGGATGAGTGGTCTTGATATTGCGACGAAGTAGCCATACCTTATCACCCAAGAGGAATGGTGGTTGTTCCTTTTTATAGACATCTGCATTGACATTTTGTTGTTCTTGAGCCTCTTTTAACTGCACCTTCATCGTTGCATGTAGCTTTGATAAATGAATCGCCAAATCTTTTGCAACAGGATTATCAACTTTTGAAAAGTCAAAAGTATCAAGTCATGGATGATAACCATAATTAGCAAAGAAAGATATTTGTTTTGTAGAAGAATGTATCGTGTTATTATAAGCAAACTCAACCAATGGCAAAAGAGTTGTCCAATCATCTTGTTGGTAGTTAATGGTACATCTTAAATATTGCTCCAAAACTTGATTAACATGCTCCGTTTGTCCATTAGTTTGAGGATGGAATGCCGAAGATAGTTTTATATCCACTTTTAGAATCTTGAAAAGAGTCTGCCAAAATCTTGATACAAATTGAGTTCCCCTATTTGATATAATATCCTTGGGTAATCCATGATAGTGATAGATATTATCAAGAAAGAGCTTAGCTGTTTCTTCACTTGTGATAGATTTTGTACATGGTACAAAATATGCCATCTTGGTAAAACGATCTACTATCATGAATATAGAGTCATAAGAACTTGAGATTGGAAGATCTGTGATGAAGTCCATAGAAACAGAAGACCATGGTTGTTCTGGAATGGATAATGGCTGAAGAAGTCCGTAAGGTCGATGACGAGGAGTTTTTGATCTCGAGCAAACATCACAAGATTGTACAAAATCTTTGACTGCTTTTCATATTTGTGGCCATCAAAAATCTTTGGATATTAGTTCCAAAGTTTTATTATACCGAAAATGTCATGTTGTTGGGAAGTCGTGACGAGGTTGAAGAACACGTAAACATGCTTCTCCTTCTGGAACATATAAGGGTCCTTTGAAATAGAGTAGGTTGTTCTTGAACTCGAATTTAAAGGAATCATGAGATTTAGAAGAATTGTTCTTGATATCATGAACAAGAGGGTCTAAAGACATACTTAACTGGACTTGCTTGAAAAAAGTTAAATCAACAGTCAATGTTGATTTTATTACTCGAAGATGAAATTGCTCCAGCTTCAAGAGAACCATTCTTTGTTATTCAAAAGCTACATCTCCTTCTTTTGGTGCAAGATAAGAACGACTAGACAAGGCATTGGACAAACCTTATTGTTTTCCTGGCCAATAAGTGATGATGAACTCGAATTTTGATAAAGACATGCTCTAATGAGCTTAACGACGATTTAATACGCGTGTTGACATGAAATACTTGAGGTTCTTGTGATCCGTATGCATGGTGACTAGACTAGAAGCGCCTTCTAGATAATGATGCCATTCTTAAAAAGAATCCATAATTGCAAGAAGTTCTTTGTCGTGGATCTCATAATTGATTTCTGCTGCTGAGAATTTTCTTGAATGAAAGGCTACTGGATGAAGTTTGTCATCTATTCCCATTTGTGATAAAACTGCACCTAGAGCAAAGTCTGATGCATCTATTTCTATAAAGAATGCTTTGGAAAATTCAACATGATACAAGATTGGTGCAGAAACAAACGTTGTCTTCAAAGA